GAACTACCAGAAGTACAGGCAGGATTTCGAAGAGGCAGAGGAACTAGTGATCAAATTGCCAACATATGCTGGATCATGGAGAAAGCTAGGGAGTTCCAGAAAAACATCTACTTCTGCTTCATTGACTATGCTAAAGCCTTTGATTGTGTGGCTCACAACAAATTGTGGCAAGTTCTTAAAGAGATGGGAGTCCCAGACTATGTTATTTGTCTCTTGAGAAACCTATATGCGGGTCAAGAAGCAACTGTGAGAACTGGACATGGAACCACTGATTGGTTCAAAATTGAGAAAGGAGTTCGGCAAGGCTGTATACTGTCGCCCTGCCTATTTAACTTATATGCAGAGCACATCATGAGAAAGGTGGGGCTAGATGAATCACCAGTTGGAATTCAGATTGGTGGGAGAACTTTCAACAACCTCAGATAATGCAGATGATACCACTCTCATGGCAGAAAGTGAAGAGGAACTAAGGAGCCTCTTGATGCGGGTGAAGGAGGAGAGTGCAAAAGTTGGCTTGAAACTCAACATTAAGAAAACTAAGGTCATGGCATCCGGTCCTCTCACTTCCTGGCAAATAGATGGGGAAGAAATGGAGGTAGTGACAGATTTTATTTTCCTGGGCTCCAAGATCACTGCGGATGGGGACTGCAGCCAAGAAATTAAAAGATGCTTGCTCCTGGGGAGGAAAGCTATGGCAAATCTAGACAGCTTACTAAAAAGCAGAGACATCACCCTGCCAACAAAAGTGTGTATAGTCAAGGCTATGGTTTTCCCATTTGCAATGTATGGCTGTGAAAGTTGGACCATAAGGAAGGCTGAGCGCCGAAGAATTGAGGCCTTTGAATTGTGGTGCTGGAGAAGACTATTGCGAGTCCCTTGGACCGTAAAGCGATCAAACTGGTCAGTTCTAGAGGAGATCAACCCTGACTGCTCTTTAAACTCAAATACTTTGGCCACCTAATGAGAAGGAAGGACTCCCTGGGGAAGAGTCTAATGTTGGGAACAATAGATGGCAAAAGAAGAAGGGGACGGCAGAGGATGAGGTGACTAGATGGAGTCACTGAAACAGTTGGTTTGAGCTTAAGTGGACTCCGGGGGATGGTGGAGGACAGGAAGGCCTGGAGGAATGTTGTCCATGGGGTCGCAATGGGTCGGACACAACTTCGCAGCTAACAACAACAAGTAACTTATTCTACTATCCTATTTCCAGTAATTGAGGGGTTTCTGATTAGACTTGTACAGAATTGCACTATCAGAAAGCTTAAATATCAGGTAAAAATACTGAAGCATGTAGGAGGTTATAGTCCATTCTTTGTCTTTGATTTATTTTACATCTGTACAAACATAATTCAGCAAAAGACAATAAAACAATTTAAGCTCCACAAAAATAGGGTTAGATAAGGGAAACTGTACATTTCTTGAATGTATAATAACACCATGAAGTTGGCAGGTTAGTGCATGCCGGATGTTTTTGACTATGATTGAACCATAGTTAATTATCAGGGTCTTTAGTAGCATAGTCAAACACATTGGGAAAGCATTGGGTTGTCTACTGCTGCCATAAAAACCGAGCTAGACAGTTAAATGCCTGCCAAAATTAAAAGTTCCTTAACCCTAACCTTAACTTGGTTAAACACCAATAAGGGAACATGGAAAGGTGAAGTCTTCAGTTTCTGTATGTAATGGGTTAATAAAAACTAGAACTGTCCTGGCAATAATTGTACGAATGGTTGGCATAATATGTTATAGTGATGATGGTGGAGGTGGGATTTGAAACAACAGCTGAACATTTCAGAGTGTATTTCAGACCCCAAGAATTGGGGAAAACAGTTACTACTAATAGGAATATATTTCATTGAAAATATCTTTAGAACATAGTTAATTGCCCTAATGTTTAGTCATGTGTGGAACTTATTATTAAGTTTTCTGGAACTTATTATTAAACATAAGCATGTATGCACAGCCACATGACCAAATTACAGTAACCTGTTTATGGAAGAATTAAGACCCTAGATTTTGTTAGAAGTGACCAGTACAGATTCTTATACTTTACATAATTGTATCCATTTAGCAATACAATTGCATCATTTGCTATCTAATATGTCACACTGATTTTTTATACTAGTACTCGGTTATTAGATTTCTAAAATCTTGCTCCCTAACATAGGCACATTAAACATTCCACTACATTTTAGAACAATTTAGTTTGCTTAATTTTCTAAAAAGCACCTGTAATGATCAGATCATTACATTTTAAAATTAAAGTTTTTAGTAGAAGTATTTGAGAATAGATTTCTTTAGTCAAAAGGGGGAAAGTATATTTGTATTGGCTGAGTAGATCCTTGGTGCCTTACACATTGAGAAAGTTTTCTGGCATGTAACTGTTGCTGAGTTGATAATTTTTTAAGAAAAGCTATTTACTGTTTGAGAAGAATTACTGGTATGTGACTGTGCCTCTTTTGCAAGCCAAAGTTGGAACTGAACCATGGGAAAAACAGCAGTCTTCTTCACCATGACAGAGATAGTTTTGAATTTCTCCCTTGTCTCTGCAGTCAGATTTTGTTAGAATGATACGTATATATTTAAAAAATCTTGAATAAACTTTTGTTGCATAGATTTGGTTCAAAAATTAATATTTTCAAAAGACTCAGATATTTGCAATAAGCATTGGGAGGGAAAACAATTTTTTTATGAACAACTTTTTCAGATGGTATGAATTTAGCATTTTTAGCTTGTAAGCCTAGTGGCTCAGCCCCTTTATATGCTCCTGTACAAAATATAAACTAGGTATGCATTCTGTTTCTTCTCCACATTCCATGCTACCCCATGTTCTGAGAATTTAGTAGCCTTAAGCCAGGTTCAGGTAACTTTTTTTAGCCTAAGGGTCAAGTTAACACCAAACAAACTCACTGGGAGACTGGGGGTGCTTGTCAGGTGCAGGCCGAACTACCATACTGCTAATACTTGCCCCCATGTTTACTTAGACTATGCGCGCTCTCACCCTGCTCCAGGTGACATCAAAAGAGGCTTTTAAAAAATCAAACAACAAAGAGGGGAGGTTGTTAGTAAAAGAATGGAGGCAAACAATGATAGCCACAGAATGCAGTAATTGAGCTGCATGTAGTACTATAATGAGGGTTATATCACAATTCTGCTTAATTTTTAAACTTGTAATTCTTGAAATATGGAACAATAGCTCACTTCCACAGGTGATCAGAAGAAGCAAATGAGATGTAAGGAAAAGCTGCTCATGTATTTGGAAGGAATGGGCTGGATAAGGAAACACCAGGTTATAAATGAATGTGTCCCTTCCTTACTTTGTACCAGGAAACAGTATTGGGTTTTAGAATAACATCTGTGGGTTTGGAAAGTTGAAATCTTATGCATTATATACTTGTCTTTTGCTGTTCTTTAATTCAAGCTTTCTGCATGTGATTCTTGCACTTCATTTTTTTCCCTGCAAGTATGTGAAAAAGATGTCCTAAAATAAAAACAGGAGTTCTTACACAGCAAAAAACACTAGGAGTACAGCTGTATCAGAAGTCTGCCTCAATGAATGAGCTACCACCTTCTTTTTCACAAGTTATGATCCTTAAGGCTTGTAGTTCCCAATGACAGTTGACCTTTTGATAGCTGTCACATGGAACCAAACGGGTAAATAAACCTACCTGAAGCTTCTGTGAGACAATGTCCAGGATAGGAACTCACAGGTATCAGTAATTACTTAAAATATATATTACTTAAAAATATGCATTTTGGTAAACCTGTGTGGTGCAGTTTTTAAGAGTGTGGGACCAGAACTCAGGCAATCTGGATTCTAATCCTTGCTCAGCCGTGGAGCCAACTGAGTAACTTTGGACCAGTCACAGATTCTTATCCCAACCTAGCTCACAGGGTTGTTGTTGTGAGGATAAGATTAAGAACAACAGGAAGAGAATGGTGTAAGCTGCTTTGAGTTCTTTAAAAGGAAAAAGACAAGATGTAAATCTGAAACACCTGTAAGAAACAGAATGAGGGGTAACTTGGCATTAGAGATCACAGTTTGTGAAAAGGAGGTGGTGGCTCATTCACTTCCTTTATGACAAGATACTGTTTTTTGGTGGGGGGGGGGTGGTTGGCCTATGTGTTCTAAGATACTGCCACCCAAGGAACATGCAAAAGTGCAAACCACTCCTTTTTCAACTGTCCGAGTGCAAAAGGGAGGGCACCTTTAGGACATCTGAGTCTAAGCCTCCCACACAAACCAAAACAATCTGCGAAGATGGAGCCAGAAGGGATAATAAACTTACTGCAGCCTCTGTGGGCAGGGTGCTTGCAAGTCAGGAAGAAAGGTGTGTAAACACCCCCCCCCGGCAAATATTAGCAAAAATCAGGTTGACAGAATTTTTAAAAATGTTTGTCAGCCATTGGCAGGTGCCCCCCCCCCCCAAACACTTGGGACTGTCCATACCTGAGAAAGAAGCCGCTTTCACAATCCTGCAGGGAAAAAAATCAACTGCAAAAACTCTGGTGAGCCTGAAATGGATCACGGTGGAGAGAAGAGACAACTTAGCACTCCCATGTTCTCCTGGATAGTCACAGGAGCATCAAGTGGGGTTGGTGGGAGCCAACAACACATAGTAAGCTTGATTATTTGTTGGGTGCCTTATAAGTTGTTTGCATGACAGAAAACCCACTGTGGCCTAGGACTAGGTTGAAATTCCATTATCTTTTAAAAAAGTAATCCATATGTATGGGTCTCAGTTTGCTGCCACACCTTGAAAAGTTTTAAGTCATCTGTGTTCTTTCTCTGTAATACTCTGAAGTATCAACAACCGCATAACAAATCAAATGTACATTGTATTAGGTATATTAACTCCTTGAAAATCCATATGAAATGCATGAGACAGATGATGGCTTTTCCTGAAACAATTTTTAAAAACCCTATGTGAAAACACTCTGAATAAAGATTACCTTTCACAAGTTACTTTGCATATGTGAAGGAGCTGAAGGTAAGATCTTTTAATGCTGGGAAATAATTTTAATTCTCATAAATGTCCTTCCCCTCTTCCCACTGGCACCCACATATTTCCCAATATTTTCTTCCTGCTTGTGTTTGTGTGAGATTTTCCCAAAATAAACTTTAAGCTGAGTACTGACTAAACAACCACAGTGTATTGCTGGACTCTCTGCTTACAGAGTGAAAATTGACATTTAAGATATATTGTATCCATCCTGGCTACTAGAAGAACACATCAGGTCAGAATATCTTCATAGGACCCAAAATACTGGGTCTGTCTCCACATTAAGAGGGAAAATCTCCACATTTATTTTGTCATCTGTTGCAGCTACAGGCTGTCATGGCTGACTGCAATGAATTTGTGGGAATCTAGGGTTTTTTATTCACATATTAGAAAAGTTACTGTTGTTTTTTATAGATAAAAGTGGAAGAAAATGGCAGTTATTGACATTTAGAATTCTTTAGTTGGGTGTGCTGAGAACCAGTTGCTTACAATGTAAAAAAACCAGACTCTCGTATGTTTCAGAATTGATAAAATCAAGCGAAATTCTAGGATGATGTGGAAATCTGCCTTAAAAATTTTGCCCATGCACTATGATTCTATTTGTAAAGAACAAAGTAGTCACAAATAATTAGGAAATAAGCAATGGATTAATAAGAACCATCCAATAATTTATATTAATTTTGCTGTTTTCATTTAACTTGGCTGGAATTGCCTTACAGAAAAATATGTATTTCACATTTTGCTGTGTGTAAACTTCAGGTAGAGAACTGTGTCCTGAGGTGCTGCTATTTCAATCACTTAGCCCGCCTTTGAGGATAAAAGTTAGTCCAGGTGGTTTACAAGTAAAACAATACATTAATAAAATCTCTACAAATAATACTAACCATAACAAATCATAAAAATATGCCCCACAGAAATTAGGTAAAAAGAAGAGGTGGCAGGACAGTAGGTAATGTATGATACTTGGTAAAATGATCATTTAATAAAGATTTTTGCAGATTTCATTTTTGAAGTAAGCAGTTGCTGTAGAAATATCTTGTCTCTAGCTGATCTGGAAATGACACTTTAATAGCCAAGCATTTTTATTATTATACTGCTTAATTTTAACTATAGCGGATGTATTTGACTGTTTTTGGTGGGCTTTACATTTGTTGTGGTACTGAACTGACTTTTTCCTGTTAAAATTGAAAATAGCTTGGTATTCTTCTGTATTGGGACATTATCTAGGAGTGAGTATGTCTGCAGATGATTTGTTCAGTACTTCTCAAGAGAAGTCATTTGATTTATTTTTTTATTCTTTTTGAGTTGTCCTATAGTAGAAGCTCTCAGGGTGATACATGTAATAAAAAAATGCAAGAAAGCCAGTAGTGAAATAAACAACAAAAAGAATGCAAGCAAATTTAACAGTAGCAGCAACAATAACTTAAAATTTTAAAAGGAAACAGTTAGGAGAAGGATAATTTTAAGAAGCAGAATTAAACGTATCAAAAATAAAACAAGTAGCTGTCAATTTTTTTTAAAGACATGAGACTAAAATGTCTTTGCTTGGTGTCAGAAAGTTAACAGATACTAGAAGGACTTCATTAGGAAGATAATTTCATAATGTGGGAGCGACAACAGAAAAGTCTGGTTAATCTAATGCTTATACTTGCCTGTGACTCTATAAACCTTCAGCTAGTCTACAATGCATAGCTAGACAAATGGTCCTAATCATATATAATGACATTGGGTAGAAGAAAGTGGGCTGCACTTCTGATTACACTTAGCAACCTGTGTCCAGCTCTTTGTAGGTTGCTGAGCATGATATCTAAACTGGACTGGATGGGTGGTTAGGAACTGAACAGTCCATCATTTGATCCTTACCGGCAGCTTACTCAGTGCCTATTGTTCATGCATGACAATCCATTGTTTTCTAAATTAATGGGTTGTTTTGTGAGCAGGGCAATTGCTCTTCTTGAATTATTTTGTTTTCATGAGAAACAAGTTGTCTTAAAGATAATAGATAAAGATAGATCCAAGCCCACTATTTTCCTCTCATGCTACACTTACGGCCTTGTAAGAGTGTCTACCCAACAGGTGCATTCCCAAATTTTAATTTTATGCAGTATTTTCCAATTCATATCGTCTCTGAATGTTCTTCCAAATATGTGGACTGCCTTCAGTTTGGCTGCTATTTCTTTTCTGTATTCTATGATGTTTATAGTGTAGTGCTATTGCTTGTCAAATGTAACATTTTTATTTGAAATGATTTGATTTTACCAGATGTTCTAAGATCTAAAAAGTAGAGCATAGCACTTCTAAGAGATTTCTAATCAAAATTGTATTTCAGTTTCAGTGCAAAACGGTTCGATTCATCAAAAGGATGCAGTAAATGATGATGATTTTGAGCCATATCTAAGTAGTCAGACAAATCAGGTAAGTATTAAAAAGATCATGGTATATATTTTAATGCAAACTAGATTGTATATTTTAGTTAAACTGTTAACTTGACATTGCTTTAAGAATTGTATTATCAGGTCAATATAAGTTTTCCAAGTATTCAATGTCACATTGGCAAATCTGCTAAATTGACTGTGTATTTGTGCATATATGTGACTTGGGTTAAGGAACTATAAAGAGATTCATTTCCTTTGGTTCTAAATGAGTGAAACTTGTATAGCTTGCAGTAACTATTTTTGTTTGATGTGCATAGAGCTGGATACAGAATTGTGATACAATCTTAGCTGTTGTATTAAAGTATTAAATCCACACTTTGCAAGCAAAAGATATAGCACATTTTGAAGATACAAGTCCCATATATTTGGATAAGATTTTTTTTTTTGAAGAAGGAGGAAATGGAAAGTGGAAAAATCTCTGAGGTCTTTATTCATCTTTGCCTATAGTATTATCCAGAGCAGACTAGATTTCTGTTCTTAGTTGGCATGCTGCATACTGCTATTGTTGCCACATTGCCTGTCTTTCAACAGTTACTGCTGAGTGAGGTAGTTCAGGATCCACCAAGGACAGTCCAGGGCAGGGGTCCTCAACCTTTTTGAACAGGGGACCAGTTGAAAAGTGCCGGTGATGGGCGTGGGCCACCAAGGCGGTGGGGGCAGGGGTCGTGGGCCAGGCCGGGAGGGGTGCGTGCACGCGGTGAGGCAGGGGCGTGTGTGCACAGGGATCATTTTCTCCAAGCAAGCCGGCGCCAGCGAGTCCAAAACCTCTGGCAGGCCGGATCCAGCCCCCAGGCCATAGTTTGAGGACTCATGGTCCAGGGGTTATAATTTCATTAACAAATGTTTCCATTTTTACCAGTATCTGAGTTCTCTCCTGGGAACAATATTGCCATAGCAGTTAAGCTACTGATGGGTAACTAGTAAAAGGACTTCAATTTCTGTTGACCTTAATAACTAAGCCAAAATTTTGATCACCAAGTTGCTATCTCTGTCTCTGTCTGGCCTAGCTTTGGCTGATGATTAGTAGGCTGGCATTAGCCAACAATGGCATTAGCCAGCAATGTTCCTACATTCCTTTTCCCTATACCAATGTGTGTTGGGTGCTGCTTCATGGACATGCTAAGTGCCTCTGTACAGGTTCATATCAGGCAGCCTGTTCAGCTGATTCTGTATGATAGTGATGTTCTGGCTACTTTGGCAACCTATTTGCCAAAGTTGGCTTCATCCCAAATTGGGAACTGGGCTGCTGGAACAATTGTGCAACTGCTGTGAAAATCTGCAGCTTTAGGCTTGGGATGAAGGTTGGCCACTTCTCAAGACTGCCTGAGAGCTTTGCATCATTGGCAGGACAAGCTGAAGCTCTCTTGATGGTTTTTAAACTGGATTCTTAAAAATCACAAGAAAACCCAGACAAATTAACTGCAGAAATTTAAATAATGGTGCAATATTATAGTCTCTCCACAGCATCTGGGAGGGCCATAGAATTCTTTGGAGTCCCAGTACGAAGGTCCTGTGACAGCGGTGCTTGGACTCCAGTGGTTGAGGCCTTGCCTTGCCCCCTATGCCGGCTGCCTCTACAAGAGAAGAAATATGCCTCAGAGAGGAAAAATGAGGTGTCCTAGGGAGGAAGCTGGTTGGGTCTGCCTATACAAATTTCTTTTGATGCCCCATCCTCCTTCCCTGTTCCTCCCAATTGCTTTATCTAGATGGATGGAAATGGTTGTCTAGAAAAAATGCCTGGGGAGTGGTGCTACAAGAGAGATCACTGCTGCTGTCCCTTGTTCTCATGTCATTACAATTAAGAAGACTTCTGAGCATCTAGTGTGGAGGTGATAACCTTTGCACCTTAAGCAATTAGGCCTTTAAAATTAAAAACAACTGACATAACTCTCCCCACCATTGTCCTACTTAAAGCTGTTAAATGCCTCACCATAAAAGGGTTGTCTTAATGTGGTGCAAAAGGGATACTAGAGTAGTGTCAGTGTGCAGATTGTTCCAAAATGAGGGGCGCAGGGAATGTTCTTTTTCCTGTTTCTGCCAGCTGAGTTTCTCTCAGAGGCTGTAATTAAGGGAAGGCCTCAGATATTGAGGGTAGTATTTGGGTAGGAGAGGCATTAAAACAGTTATTGCAGTTCTGAGCATTGTAGGACTTTGTGTGTGTTTAGTGTTACTTTGGATTCTTTGAAAAGTATTATAAGCAGAAGTAATACATTTGGTTGTCTAGTAGAATTTATTGACCCCTAAGTTGGTTGTAAATGCAATAGATTCCAGACAGAATTAAGTCCTGTGGTACCATTGGTTAAAACATATATCATAAGCTTTTGCAGTCTAGAACCTCCTTCACTGAGTGCATGAAGTCTTAAAACTTATTGCTTGCTAATTACATTTGAGAAGGAAGTCATAATTGAAAAAAATTAAAGTGCTGAACTATTTCTACAAGAACTTGGGGTTGACTCTTAAGGTATATTTGAAGGTTGTTCCAGTAAGGCATTTCTACTCATGCATGGAAATGGATATTGGGTTTTTAAAAAAATAATTTAAAAGATTTATATGCTGTCTTTTGGAGCTTCCAAGTATACAGAAAGAAGATAAAACATGTAAATCTGACTCTTGTTCACAGTCTAATTGCATAACATTCCTAAGAGTTCCCATTGGTAGTTTTGGGCAGCAGATATTAGGGGGAGAAAACAAGGCAGCAAGCAGTGATTTTTTTCATATTCCTTAGGATTCAGCCTTTAGTTAGCTAGTTGGTTTCTTTTTCTTTTTTTAATTCTTAAATAAGCTTATTCTCCATCATGGATTCTTCCATCTTGGGCACATCAAGAGGTGTGTGGAAGAGTCTTTAGTATAAACAAGCAGTATTTGTAATATATTGTAACTGTATACTCTGATAGGAGAGACAGAGCTTGTATGTGTATGAACATGCTTTTGTACAGTTGGTAGCAGCTTTCCTTGCCAGTCTGCCCCCTGAAAAATAAGAAATACAAATTAATTAAGGAGGTATCTTGTATTGGGCTAGTAGAATTGCCTTATTTTAATGACCATTCTGTGATCATCAGAAAACTTCATTTAGGAGCGAAAGTAAACCTAGTGTGTTTGAATGCCACGGTGGTGTAATTTTTTTGGCTTTTTATAAAATTTTGCATTTATACTCTGCTTAAAGCAAAATATTAGAGTAAACTCAAAGGTCATGCTTTGTGTATACTTAAAGCCAATAGTGTGCTTTCAGTTTTTATTATTAATGGGTGAACAGGTCAATAGGACAATAAAACATTTTTTTTGAGGAATGAAGATAATAAACATAGAACAGAAATCTGATCCTTATGCCTTTGTTTTGTTTTCCTACAGAGTAATAGCTATCCACCAATGTCAGACCCATACATGCCTAGTTATTATGCTCCATCCATTGGATTTCCATACTCGCTGGGTGAAGCGGCATGGTCCACAGCAGGAGATCCTCCAATGCCATACTTGACAACTTACGGACAGATGAGCAATGGTGAACACCACTACATCCCTGATGGTGTATTTAGTCAACCTGGGGCTTTAGGAAACACTCCTCCGTTCCTTGGTCAACATGGATTTAATTTTTTTCCTGGGAATGCCGATTTCTCTACATGGGGGACAAGTGGATCTCAGGGGCAATCAACTCAGAGCTCTGCGTATAGCAGCAGCTATGGCTACCCGCCTAGCTCTCTTGGTAGAGCTATAGCTGATGGACAGGCTGGATTTGGTAATGATACCTTGAGCAAAGTGCCCGGTATTAGCAGCATTGAGCAAGGCATGACTGGACTGAAAATTGGTGGTGATATGACAGTGGCAGTAACAAAAACGGTTGGTTCAGCTCTGAGCAGCACAGGTATGACAAGCATTGCAGCTAATAGTGTGCCTGCAGTTAGCAGTTCAGCACCTAAACCAACCTCATGGGCTGCCATTGCTAGGAAGCCTGCTAAGCCTCAGCCAAAACTTAAGCCTAAAGGTAATGTGGGAATTGGGGGCCCTGCTGTTCCACCACCCCCTATAAAACACAACATGAATATTGGAACTTGGGATGACAAAGGGTCTGTGGTAAAAGCTCCCCCAACCCAACCAGTATTGCCTCCTCAGACTATAATTCAGCAGCCTCAGCCATTAATTCAACCACCTCCAATGGTGCAAAGCCAACTGCCTCAGCAGCCGCCGCAGCCACAGCAGCCACAAGGACCTCAGCAACAGGCTCAGCCTCATCAGATGCAGCAGCAGCAGCTGCAAAATCGCTGGGTGGCTCCTCGCAATAGGGGTGTAGGCTTCAATCAGAGCAATGGAGCTGGCAATGAAAACTATGGTATAGGTGTTATACCAGTTAGCTCTTCACCTTCTGGTGTAGAAATACACCCAGTATTGGAGAAACTAAAGGCCATAAATAACTATAATCCCAAAGACTTTGATTGGAACCTGAAGAATGGTCGTGTGTTTATAATCAAAAGCTATTCAGAGGATGATATACATCGTTCGATTAAGTATTCTATCTGGTGTAGTACTGAACATGGTAATAAGCGCTTGGATGCTGCATACCGTTCACTGAATGGAAAAGGGCCACTCTATTTACTTTTCAGTGTGAATGGCAGTGGACACTTCTGTGGCGTGGCTGAGATGAAGTCTGTGGTGGACTACAACGCATATGCTGGAGTCTGGTCTCAGGATAAATGGAAGGGGAAGTTTGATGTTAAATGGATCTTTGTTAAAGACGTTCCGAACAACCAGCTGCGGCACATTCGCTTGGAAAACAATGACAACAAACCAGTTACCAATTCGAGGGACACTCAAGAAGTACCGCTAGAAAAAGCTAAGCAAGTGCTTAAAATAATTGCTACTTTCAAGCATACCACCTCAATCTTTGATGACTTTGCACATTATGAAAAGCGTCAAGAGGAGGAGGAAGCCATGCGTAGGGTAAGAACTCAATGTGATAATAAATGCATCATGTTTTTTGAAACTAAACATTTAAAACATGGAACTCAGCTCTACCTTTCCTCTGATAGTTATATTTAAAAAGGGTGAACAACCCATGGGCCTTATGGGCCCCCATGGTCACTTTTGTGGCCCTCACAGAATTTGCTGCAATAGCCACAAAAGGTGCTGATTATCTTTTAATGTAAGGTATACTCCTTGTGTACTTCTTGTTGGGAAGCAGAAACATGCTTTACTTTCTATATACCCTGTATTGAAGAGACATCTCTGCTCTTCTGCCAGTTACAGTGGAAAAATTGATGGGATGATGGTGAAGGGTACAATGTAAGTGGGTTGCGGGGTATAAAATTTACCCTGAGATCTGTGAAAGGTGTTCACCTCTGATTTAAAGCACGAAGTAATTTGAAATAGATTTTGTTCTAAAAGCTATGGTTTAATATGCTAAGCAATAGTTATAACTTAATGCATTACATTGAATTTTCTGTTAGTATATGCTACATTAGAATAATGTTTTATAAGACAAAAATTAATTTTGTTCACAAAAGACTGATCATCTTAATGGTTTCAGTAGCAGGTTGCACTTGTCTTTAAGTCAGTGTTGCCTTTTGTAATATTAAAATAGATTGTGAATGGTTTTGTGTTGAAAATGTTTCAGGCAGGATAAATGGTTATTAGGTTTATGTACAGAAAAAATACCTTCCTAAGAATTTGCCTCATTGACTTAGATTTGAGGCCAGCTATGACATGTAGGTTTGGATTTGCATCATGCTTTGTTTTGAACCTGAAGTGGAGATTCACATTTTCCAGAGCTTCAGATATCTATAGCCTACAATGGGGAAAAGGAAAATAATGAGCTCTTTTGTTGCAGAAGTGGATGAAATTTGTAGGCATAGTAGCAGATTCTGAGGAAATTAAACCTGCCAGGTTTCCCAGAAATAGAACTGTGGGTAAGAGGTATGAGGTGTTTTCAAAAACAGGGTGCTCTCTTTCTATCAGTCTGTTTACCCTCCTGAAAGCTGGAAGTCAGCTTGCCTCACTCTCTTTTGGGCTTCCTGCCTTTTTCTTCCTGCAGCTCCCACAAAACCTCATTATGTAGCAGCTTTCACTTTCAGCCAACTTACACTTCTAATTCTCAACACTGGTTAGAATTGGCTAGAAAGTATCAAAGAAACATGTTTGCTTGGAAAGCTGTTTAGTAGGTGAAAGTCTTTGTCTATATTACTGTTCTCCTACACAGTATTAATAACACCCCTGCAAACCTCTTGTAGCCAGAGTCCTCTGCCATTTAAGAAAGGAGATTGAGGTCCTTCTTGCTCCTTTTTGCAGGGTCAGGTGCCCAACTCATTATTGTGACTTTGTTTTAAAGGTGACTATTTGGGGCGAGGGCGTAGAAGAGGCAGAGAAGGCAGCAGATTTCCCCATGCTTAGTGGAACTTGTGACAATTTGTTAAACTGCAGGCATACACCACATCCTGGGGAAGAGAGATGTCCCACTCTGTACAAGGCTGAACAACCAGAACCACAGATTCCTCTTTGACAGCCGAGGGTACCATGCATGCATATATAGTCTACATTAGAGAGACCCTGTGGGAGCAGAAGCAGCTAGCATTGGTGGGATGAAGAATATAATGTGTTCCTCTAAAAGTGCCGCTGCAGCTGCCAAATATATTTAGTGGACTGAAGAGCACAGAAAAAAACAATACTTGATGTTTTTCTTACGCATCCTGCACTTGCATCTTCCTTCTAAAAACTGGAAGAAAAAAAATCCCTGGTTAAGTAGGGATCCCTAGTTAAGTATCTTTATGATTGAGAGTTAGAGCTTTTCAGTCATAAAACTGTGATTTTGCATCTTTCCTTTCCCTGATGGTTTCCCATTTGAAGGTTCTGTCCCTGCCACCTTTTGCTTGAATTACCTTGTTCCAGGATGATCCGTATTTCCAGGTGGGATTATTGGCCTTGGCTTGCCACCTTGACTGAGGTGACTGTGCAATCCTATTGGACTTGTTGGTGACCAGCAATGTAAAACCTGCCCATCCTTGCTTTTGAAAACTATCTTATTTGATTTCCTGGCTTCATTTTTACTTAGAACGTTTATCTTGCAGTGTCTGCTTTTCCAGTTTCTAAAGGATCTAGATATCCCCCAATTCATAATGTATATTATGTTGGGTAGGTAATTATGTTGCATAGGTATATTAATAATGTTGCTGAGAATGTTCATACATTGTACATTAAAATATTATTTTAAAGTGCCTCAAATGTAAGTGCTATATGATGTCAGAAGAGAAAATGGTCTCAGTCTACAGTCTCTCAGATTGATAGATATATTATAAATGGGAAAAGATAGAGCATGCATTAGGAGCAACTGTACTTTTACTAGCTGATGGTGGGGGCAAGTTAATCTCCTCTTGCCATGATACTCTTTCTGGGAAGTCAGGGTATGGTCTCCCAAGACTTGGACTAGATGACTTCTGCATTAAGCAGGAGTCCATCATTGCCTGCAAGGTTGGGCAAATTATGAGGCAAAAATACCTGAAGCCTATAATTCGCATGAGTCCTAATCAGTATGCTGATGCTGAGTAAGCCAAAATATGTGGAAAGGTCTCAAGTTACCAACTTTATTAGTAATGACTGGGTAAAGGCTAATAACCAAAATTGAATCACCAGTTCCAGAAAATAGGGGACATATATAACTTAACATTACTTAGTATCCAATTACCTAAAGAAGTACATCTCCCAGTATTAACTTACCTATAACTTGAAATTTTCTGGGAAGCCCTTTTGATTATAACATCAAGCAAAGCCTAGAATTCTAGAACTTGTAATAAGCCTTGTTGATAGTGGCACTCTAACTGTAAAGTACCTTTCTCCAGAGCAAAGGGATTATTGTTTGATGTCATGTGAAAATTTTCTGCTAGTTCTTTTGAGTAATAGGCATATGAGAGCCTTGGCTATTGGGCTGTATAGAAATGAATAAATAAATATATCAGAGCAGGGGCATTTCACTGGATTTGGCACTGATTGACTTGTGTATTTTATAATATGGTGGGTCTATTCTGTGATTGTTTCATAGTGAAAAATGAGATATTTAAAGTTTTGTAAATAAGTAAATACCATAATTCCCAGGTGGTCGCAAAATGAGAGATTGCTAGAATGGGAGAAGCCAAATTCAACTGGTTTCAACTATGATCATGTAGTAGTTATCACATAGTTCCCTGCCCCTTTGATGCAGTGAAGTAAAACATCTGCTGACATTTTGTATTTTTCATTTAGGAATTATTGTGCTGTTTTGACAAGCTGGGAAAAATATGCACAATTAATGACTGCTGTCAAATGGAGACACTGTGTATGCATTGACAGCTTGCTGGGAATGTGTAATGCTTGAGCTGTTTCTGTTTAACAGTGAATAGTTAACTTTAGTTGAAAAGTGTACCAGTAGTTGTAACCCCTTGCACTCTTTAAATGGAAATAAGTGTTAAAGTAAGCAAGTAGTGCAGAGGCTTTCCTGTAAGATGAGTTAATAGTCTAACCCCTGAACTCCTGCTGGGATATGAATCTTGCAGTTGTAGGATCCAGTGTCCGCATTCCCAGGCTTGGTTTGTTTACTGCAGAGAGCACCTTACACAACAGGAAGTGAAAGAAGCAGACTTGTAGACATGCTCTGCACCCTAGGAGAGTTGTGCCATGTACCCAGAAGAAATCAGTTGTGCCATGTACCCAACCAAAAAAGTCTCAGGCATAGCAACTGGATATTCTGAAAGTATTATAAATACACTGAGGAATTCAGAGGATGGGAGTGGGTAGGTAGAAGCAATTCAGTTAATAACCAGAAATATTCATCTGAAAGAGTTCTACAAAGCTAAGTCTATATCATATGTACATGTAAAAGCCAGTTATCGCTAGGTTGGGATTCACACTAAACATTTAATTAACCTTGGTTAACAAGGGACATGAGATTCTCACTTTGGTCTTCAGTGGGAGTTGTGACTGCACCCTGGAGAGGAGAAAAGTGTGAAGAATAAAAGCTTATTTGACCCACTTATTTCGCTAGGCTGCAACTGAATACACAACTTATATGAGCCAAAATAGCTTTACCAAACCTTCCCTGGTCACAATGTAGGGTCCAAACCATAGCCCATATGTAATCCAGGGTGGTCTAGCAGTGATTACAATACACCATCAGAGTTTGGAACAACTTTTAATGCAACTTAAGTATTTGTGAATATTCTGCAATTTATCAGCTGTTAAGATTTTTTCAGTGGCACATCTTAATTCATATAGAAACAGCTCTTTGCTTACTTTTTAATGACATACTGTTTAAGCTGAAATTAGATTAAACATTTTTAACCTTTTTAGTCCAAAAGGTGGGAAAGGAGACTAGAGAGTCCAGAATATGAAACCTTCCCAGTATTCTTCTGTCTGTCTCAAGACAATAGCATTTGATGGGAAAAACATCTAGCAAAAGATGGGAATGGGCAGTAAAAAGCTGAGAAAAGAGAAAGAAACAGAAGCCATGGCTTCTCCTGCCCTGCCTAAAAAAAACCTTAAGTCTCTGAGTTTAGGATTTGAGCATTTCAGTAGGATTGTGCACTAAATGTGCTTAAATAAAGATAGTTTTCTATTTAAGATACATTATAGTACAAAGGTTATCCATCATGACATAAGGTTTAGTTTTTAATTATGTAGCATGAGGTTATATATTCATGCAATGTTTAATTTTTTTTGGTAACTGAGTTCAGTTAGTCTGTTCACAATGTCATGCTTTTCTAGAGGTTTCTATAAGATTATTGGACAGGTTTTCTATATAGAAGTTATTGTCATAGATACTTGGGTTTATAGTTCTCAGAACTGAATTTGTGCCTGTTTCTTCTTCACAGCAGAAATGCTATAGGATAAATATATGAACTTGAGAAAAAGACCTTAGTCCCATTGTTCCTTTGCAAATCTATGTACACAGAATTACCCTCTTACTACTTAAATGCTAAGTTTCAAAAAATTCCATGAACAGAAGATTGTTGGGAGTGGAACAGATCTGCGCAAGAAGCTAAGTGTGAGGAGGGAGGGGCAAGCAGTAAAAAAATGAAAGTGGAGTATTCTGCCCAAAAGGTTTTACAAGTCTTTGGATCTTTTTGTGTATAGCCTGAGGTTTATCATATTGTTCTTTCCTTGGAAGAAAAAGCCTATAATTGGCAACAGGCTGTAAAAAAAAGACCCAGTTTGGGAATATTTTCATAAAATTCCTCTACCTATGGGTATAGTATGCATGCATGCAAATTATGTAGAAAACCATGATTTAAATGTAGTCTTACTGATTCATGATTTAAATCAAATCCACCATGATGCCAAGTTGTGTTTATGATCTCAGAGGCTGTTAGACTAGGGCAGATAGTGACATACTTTTGTAACTTCTAAATTTAAGAGAACAATCTTGCCTTTAAACAAAGTTAGTTGATTTTTTTACATCATCATCATCATCATTGTTGTTATTGGCTTACAAATTTCCTACAGTGGTTAATACGGGGTGGACATTCCCTTTTATTTGAGTTTAATTTCAAGTAGTTCTGTCCTTTGATTGGAAAAGGCAAGTATTACGTAGTCACTGTTAGTATCAGATATCCTTTGTTATTATAACCACATGTATAGGCCAAATTTACTGATGAAATCGCAGGATTGCATTTAGAACTTTTCTTCTGGGTGTGACATTGAAAACTTTATTTAACCCAGGGTTTGACTGGCAGGTGATTAAACATAAGTTTAACAAACTGCTTTGCTTTCTTAGTTTGCTTGTCTCCCTCCTCTACATACTGATTTCCTGAATCACAAATGCATTTGTGGCACAATAGTATAGTTACTGGCTCTTTAAAAAAAACTTTTTGGCTACTGCCTTTGTAGTCTGGTGAAACAGAATAGTGCACAGTCCTGGGTTCATACACAATGGCAGCCTGGGGGTTAGAACAGTCCAGAGTTGACAACCAAGCACTAATCATGAGTCCTCATTCTGTATCATTCATGGTTAACAAACATAATTTATTAGAAGGGCTGCAGTCCCCAATCATGTCAACACAGAATTCAACAACCTGTACAGTGAACTATCACTATATGAAAAGCATGTGAGTTTATTAGACTGCATCATCCAAGTAGCTCAAATATGTAGCATTTGTATTTTTCTTGTATCATTTGTATTCGATCTTTCTGATCCACCCAGAGAGCTTCAGCTATTGGGCCATTTAGAAATAAACTAATTTATTTCCTATTTGTCCTAATGGAGATAATTTAAATATGTCACAAATAAGTCTCCACTGATCTAAAAAGTTAATTTTAGAAAGGAAGTAATGAAGTTGTCAACAGGGCATAAAATGCCGATTAGTAATGTTTCTGTCACAACTATGCACACTTTTAAATTATATTGCTAAAGGAATTAGCCTTGTGTCAAGATTCTCTGGAATCCCTTTGTCACCATCTCCAAATACCTTCAGGTGGATTGCATGTTAAGGATAAAATCCTCTGAACTCTGCTTTTACTGTTTGGGAGCCTTGAACATGGGTTTCCAAAATAGTCCTTCTGCACCCTGTTTGCAGCAGGTATATGGAGAGTTAAGGAAGCAAGGGTGTTTCAGAAGGCGAGGGAAGAAAGTTGGAGGAAGATCAGGATTATTTAATATTTATTTTATTACATTTTTATATTGCCCACTAGCCAAAGGACTCTAACACATACCTGATCCCACTGGTCTCCCCCTCTTCCTGTGCAACAGAATGCCCCCTTTCCTCCTGCTTGGTCACTTTTCCCACCTCAGAGAATTAGTTATTTCATTTCTTTCTTCATTGGCTGAAAGAAATTTTCTGAGCCATTCTGTAGTCCCTCTGGTGCTATCCCAGGAACTATAGGATTGTTCTCTAGATATGGAGTGGGTAGGATGCTGGTGACATACTGGAGAAAGTGATAGACTGAGGGTGTTTATCTCTAGTAAGCTACTAAGAGAAAAAATACTTGTTGTATCCTTCTGTGAACACTATTAATTCTCAGAATAAAAATCTCTTTATCATTCATAATTGATTGCCTTGGATTGGAACACTCTTGAAGTAGAGAGAGAGAGCGTGCTTTTGAAATATTCTATTCTTTTGAGACACACCTTATTTGCTTTTCATTTAAGAAGCTAAATCTTAATGATTTGCACTTCAAGAAAGTATGCATTTTAACAGTATATTGTCTATATGGTCCAGAAACTATTGGCTTGAATCCAAAGAATGGTGAGCAAAAGAAAAGGAATTGTGTCCCCTGATTCTTTTTCAATTAATGTAAGACTTTTTGTCATGCAGTGTTTGATACAATATTTGGAGGTTGTGTTTATTTTATGAGAAACATAGTTTTGGATTTAGAATTGGCTTTCCACAAATGGAAGGGTTTCTTGTGTTGGTAGAAGGATCCATTAGATTCCAGGAGACCCTCCATGTTCCTTGCATAACCACCCCCTTTTTTTTAATGATGTGTTTTTACGTCCATGCTACCTCACTATTCTGGAGGATCCCTTGACCCTCCAGTATCTGGAAGCTGCAGGTGTGATGGGGACTCCACAAAAATTGCCTCATGCTATCCAGCCAGTGAACTAACTACTTACATAGTTCTGCTTTGCAAAACTGGCTCAATTCCATGGTGCATAAAGAAGATTCCGATTCTAGCACACAGACTTTAGTGCGGGAGCGGGGGGTTAAAGGTGTTGAGAGCTTGTGCAAAGAACTCGACTGCATTTCACTTTTTGCATTCAGAATTTTTCTGCTAGGTTAGAAATTTCTGGGGATTTCTGCTATTGGAAGGGGATCCACTAGCTTTCGGATCATATTAAGTATAGGCCTCTTTACAACATGAGCAAAGACACATATCTGATGCATTAACAGAACTTAAACTCTTGCAGCCTATTAATGTAAAATGCTTAATTACAATGGAAATGCTATGAATCTTGTCACAGTTGTCATAGAATTTAGTCAGTATGGCTTCTGACAGGTAGCAGAAGGCTAAAACTTGCAAAAGTTCCCACAAAAATTGTACATTCAAACATTTTGCTCATAGAAATTATATAACTGGGTTTCATGAATAGTGAAATATTACCTAATGCAGAGTATGAGTTTTCCTTCAATATCTTATTGTAACATACATTATAACAGAAATTGCCTTTTAAGTTTTCTTCAGAAGTTTTTTGTGTTTTGAATGGCAGTGCTAGTGTTTGATATTTACCATTTCTAAATTGTTCTGCAGCCTAGCCAGTATCTACAGAAAAGCATATTGCTGAACTACAAAGTGTTGCAGTTACTGCCAGACTGTGGGACTTATCCAAAGCTTATCACAGAAGGCCTTTCTGTGTAGCAAACTTCCTTCATTGTTTAATTTTTCACTATAAAGTGATAGTGAGAGATTCTCACATGCTGTATGTTTTCTGCAGTATAAACCACAAAGTATTGGAAGACTGAATTAGCAGAAAATATCCCACTCCATATTTTATGCACCTGTTTTACTGTAAAAATTTATTGTGGGATTGATGTGAACCTCATAATGATACGGGTTTGTACTATAAATTTGCATAAAATGCAAACATTGTTTATACTTTAAGCAAGCATGATTTTTAGTTTTATAAAGCATTCTGGCATTTTTCTGCTAGGTTTCTGTGAGGAAGAAGTCCAGTTGTCTAGAAATACTTGACAGAAGTTAGATTGGGAAACTAACTTTTCACTCATGTAATTGCTTCCATGTTCCTGTAAAGCATGCAACATGGTTTTCTGAAATATTTATAGTTGAACAGCTGCTATATTATGTTGCTCAGAACAGCAGTATTTTATGACAAGTGCTATACTAATTTTCCTTTCTTCTGTTCTGCAGGAGAGGAATAGAAACAAACAATAACTATATGGAGATGGTCCTGCTAGAATTACAACACTAATGATGTAGACTCTGGAAATGCCTAATATGTCTAAGAAGACGTTATTAAAGCTTTGTTCCTGCTTAAGGTGACATCTTTGAACACTTTAACACAAAATTGACTCTTCTTGTAATGGTTCTCATCAGTGCATCTGCCCTTATACTCTCTCACCAAACACACTTGAGAACTGTAACTTCGTCAAGCACTTTCTGTCCTGAAGCTTTTACCAGTATCTGCTGTCTTTTGTAATTATGCATCCTAGCTAAGGCACGGGAGATGGAACGAATGCAAGGATTCATTAACTCTTTGAATTTGTTAAATACTAACAATTAACCATCATAAGTGGTTCAATGATGTGAGATTCACATTGCTTCAACTTATTTTTTCTTTGATGTAGTTTTTTAATTGTCAGTTTTTAGCTATTCAGCAGAATTTAAAGCAAAATCATGCCATATTTAGTCCTGGAGTAAAACTCAAGTCTAAATGTTCATGTGAAAATTATTGTAGTAAACTTTTAATATGGCAAAGCAACTTTGAGCTACAGTTTAGCCAAATGAATTATAACATGAAATTATATTAGAATGACATTTCCCTTGTTTCAAACTGTTTGGTGTAGAGAATATTAATATATGCAGCTTGGTGGACCGCACCAGTTAATGCACATTTCCTTTTTTTTTTTCTGTAACATGTATACCGAAAAAAGTGCATTTGTCTGAGGAACTGTTTGTTTGCTACCACTCAATCTCAGTTTTGAGTAGATGTACCTCAGTCTAAATCAGACTTTTTATGACCTTTATAACTACACTTAAAATCTTTAATTCCTATTTCTGGGTGTTTGCAAGCCTGAAAAGATTGATATCATGGAAGTGAAAATTTATTCCTCTAGGTGATTCACTAGCTAAATAAACATAATTCTTGTTTTAGCAAGCATATACTCAGTTTCTCAGATTTTGTTTGTTCCCAGCTCTGAATATAATAGTCTGGTATTATTTCAATTCAAAATACTTTGGGAAATAAACGTTTATCCATGGTTTCAGTTTGTATGCTCTCATGGCTGTGTTTACATGTTATCTGTTAGTACTATATAATAAAAACCTAGGTACCATATTCATCTGAATACTTTCTATGCTACTTTTTAAACTTTTATTTAAACATTTTCAGTGCCACATCAGCTTGAATACTATCTTGAAGGTACAGTATTTGTATAAAACACTGAACAGTTCCACTGTAGTGTATTGGAGGGCTTCTCTTTTTAGAAGATTCCTACAGAAAGGAGATAAAGAAGAGGCATTTTTAAATGTTACATGAAGAATGACTGTATCCATCTGACAAATATTTACCACATGTCTGGAATCTTTCATATACACTCTCTAATTGTGAAACTTGTTAGCCTGCTTAAAATTATGCTAGAATATTTTTGGTATTCTTCATAAACATAAGTTGGAAGAAATGGCATTTTTGAGATAATACAGAAGCCATCACTTTGTCATCACTTTTGGAAGCATCCTGATACAAGTCAAATGCTTTTAACTCGGAGCAATCCTCTGAGAAAAAAGAAAATTCATGATGGAGGTACTTGCCACTTGCAAATTCTAGTCTGGCTTTGGCTATTAGGCCAGAAGAGAATGTAAGAGGACAAATTCCAGAGGTGGTATATTCCACTCCCCACTCTCCCTTGTGGAGTAGGAGACAGTATTAGAGGTTTTTGCTGCTGCAACATGAATGCTTCAAGGGTGGGTCTTCATCAGCTGTGTACACGGGAAGTCTGCGTAATGGAACCATATGAACAACTACTGTTCTACATTTAGAACCCTGGCTTGATTTCTTTTGCAAGAAGCCCAGCATGACTTATAAGATTCTCCTCTCGTTTTATCCTTATAACAACATCACTGTGAAGTCAGTTAGTCTGAGAGTTCATGACTAGCCCAAAGTCACCCCATGAGCTTCATGGTTGAATGGGGACTAGAACCTGGATCTCCCACATCTCAGTTCAGCACTCTAATCACTGTACTACACTGCCTCTGTATACCACACTATATGTGGTATACACATATAGTAATTTGATGTGGTAAGTGGTTTTTAATTATATCAGAAACTGAGAAAGAGCATGGTTTTGGTATTGTCAAAACTTGTACAACTACCTGTGAATCAGACTTGTTTTTATAGATACTCTCGGCAGTGGTCATTGTTAACACTTTAATACTGCTCAGATTAATATTCTGTTTAATAAGCAACTTGGTAGTTAAGCGTACTTTCTTAGAGTCTTTTGCATCATTTGCCATAACTGTTTAGTTAGTAAGGAATAAGGCAGGCATTGACAGACAGACAACCGCTTAATCTTCATGAACATAATTTAATTCCCATATATATTTGGCATACACAGTCTTTGCTGCTTGAATTTCAGAAGCAGCGATTATGTGTTCCTAGTAAATGTGTCATGGAATTAATATGTATGTATCACTGCAGACAGAACAGCAATACTCTCCCACTTTAGTGATATTGCAGAATGTGTGAATGGGATCCTAGTGTTGGCTACTTCTTATTTATTTAATGCTTTTATATCCCATCCAACTACTAGCGTCTCAGGACAGTTTTACAATAAAAGCAACACAAATGAAATTGAGCACAGCATCCAATACTTCCTGCATAATAAAACCCCACATTAATACCTATTAAACATTAAAATAATGGGAAAATAAAAAGGGATTTTCCTGGAGCTGAAAGGAATAAAGCATTGGTACCAAGCGAACCTCTCTGGGGAGTGTATTCCATAATCAGGGCGCCACCACAGAGAAGACCCTTCTCCAGGTAACTACTCCCATAATTTTTAAGAGAGGGCTCCCAGAGAAGGACCTCTACCTCATATCTTAAAATTTAATTTTTTAGTTCTATGTATTAAATACTACTGCTTCTTTGCAACTGATATGGAGAAAAAGGGAATCCACATTTTATAACATTAACCTGAAATGTCTTTATTTACTAGCTTTGCATGATCTTACTTTGTTCAGTCATTGGAAAGGGCTAAGAAGATATTTTGCATTTTCTTGAGCAGTGGAATGCTATTCGAACAATTGTTTATGTCTTTGTATTTAAGCTATATTTAAGCACCTATAGTTTTAAACAGGCAAGAAATCTCTTTTAAAAATAGAGTAAGCTTGTGTTTTATTCACACAATTCCAAATTTGGTACTTGTTTCAATTTTGTATATAGATTATTTGGTAGAATCTTATTACACAGCAGCACGTTGTGATCAGCTTTTTAAAAATTGTGGTTTGACATTCATATTTGAATGTAAACCTGAATATGCTGTAGACTTCTGTTAAGTTTAATTGTGTATTGACTCAGTACTTAAGGGTGAATTCCTATATATGTTTAGACAAATCCCTGCAACTCCCAGCATTCCTCAGCCAGCATACTGTTGTAGAACTTCTTCCTGTTTAAACATACATAGGATTGCTCCATTAGTAACTTTAGTTTTATAATGTCATAATACAAACGAATGTTTCTACCCTTAAAAGCTGCCTTTATTTTTTTAAATAAAAAAAATCAATTTCAGACATTATTTGCATAAATCTATATCTAAGGCAATTGGAGGATTACCATTATAATGCAAATGTTAGCAAACCTTATGTAATTTAAAATATAGAATCCTTTTAATTGCACAGATATTTGTGTTGTTTTCCTAATGTATGTATTATACTGAAATGCATAGCATAGCCTTCTCTGAGTACCCTCCTGCAGTTAGTGGTAGTTATAGGCCAACTCATTTGATTCCCACCAAGCTGGGAAAGGCTGGAATCTAAAATGTTGCATTTCTTTTCCTATCCATGAACAGGGGGTTTTCTACTTCAAGGGCAACAGCCTAAGAATGCAGAATATAATGTATGAAGAATGATTGAACTGCTCTTAATTATGCAGATATACGCAAATGCTTATTTTGCTAAAATCTTCTCAACTGATATGATTTATTCTCAACTAAATAACTAGTGTGCTTTTAAGAAAATTGGAATTATGATTCTAAGGATTCTGCAATACCCAAAATGTATATGAAACTCCAGAATACACTCGAGTTTATATGCTGAAATTATTGTATATATGCTTTTGCTTGATTTAACTAAGAAATGAATGGCATCTGCTACAGTCCATAAACAGTGAAAAACGTCAAGGAAAAACCATGTAATGAAATAAGAAAAAACTATGTTCTGTACATCTTTTTAGTAGACCTAAAGTTTGTATGAGCAGAAGGCTTTTCAACTATTCTGTCCTTTTCTATTCCCAAAGCCTCTCTAGAGGATAGGATGGGGATACTCCTGAGCAGTATATACTGTGCTACTGGGACTGAGTGATAAAAGCTGATTGACCAAAAGTGAGTGGGTAGAACCTTGCCCAGGCAGATTTCCCCTTTCTATACCTTCTGTCTGTTATAGCTCCGGGTCCCCACACTGGGAGGGTTTTCAGGAGTGCAGAAGGAAAAAAAGGATGGGAAATATCAATCAGAGTTCCATCTGAACAATGCTGGGATTAAAATCCATGTGCTGTGCCTAAGGTTGGAACAAATTTAGTGGCAAGTATTGTTTCTGGTCATCTGTTTTTTTCTGTAGGATGTACAAGTAATAAACACTCAAAATTTCCCAACCATCTTTGGTACATAGTTACTAAGCACAGATGGCTAAGCTTACCACCACTTGCAGACAGACTCTTGGTCTCTGTCAGTGTACATTTTTGGCAGAGGGAAATTAATCTTTACATTCTATTTTCTGATATTCATGTGCTCATTTGGATAGACCACTCATGGTAAGTTATTTTGCAAGGATTGGTTGACTGCAGTCTGTACAGGCACTCAGCTTGCCTGAAGTCAGGACAGAAAGGCTGGTGTGATGAATTTCGAAATTAAATCAGTCTCAGAATAGGTTTGTCAGGCACAATACAATTTCCCTTAAAAACATTTCTCACATCATTGTTTAGAGATGCCAAAGGCAAATGTTGCCTTTTGATATTTTCTGAGTGCACTCAGATTTTCTGGATCTGTTTATTGGTAAGAAATGCAATGCAGATATTCTACTTAGAATATCTTTGACTACTGTACTTTGGCTCATAGCATTTTTAATGAATTTGTGCACGTGAAGTTGGTCTAACACCAGGATGATTCTCTGAGACGTGTTTCCCCTTTTGGTATTTTACCAGACAGCAACATGTATATACTGAGTGTCTGCACATATTGTTACTTCTTGTCCCTTTAAATTCCTTTTGCTCTTTAAATTTTATATACAGTGATACTCCTTTCCCAGTTGCCACATAAACATTTTTAAAAGGAAAAGTGGAAAAAATGTGAAATCTGCACTTCATATCATACAGTGATGGCTAATTTAAATTGTGTGTGCAAGGCACAATTTGAATAATCACTGCCTGGCTATAGCATGGTTTGTTGGAGGGGACCTGTAGACTGATGGAGGGTCATTGGAGGGTTGTTTTCCATTCCAGCAAGCTATACTATCCAGGTACGGCTGTCATGACAAGCTAGATCTTCAGATGATAGCAACTCGTAAGTTCTTTGCTCTGCATAATGCCTTTCACATGACTTTTGTTCAGTAGGCACATGGTGTAGTATGTATACATGTTAAAGAATTAATAGGTTGTCCTATCTAAATATTCCAGAAACTTCCAAAATACAAGGTACTAATTAAGGCACCTGTTTCAAATTAAGTTTACCATCTTCTACTGCGGCTGACATCCAATTCATATTGCTCTTGGCTTCATTTTTCCTAGTATAATTTTTTCACATGTCTAGCCCTATTTAATGGACTGAAGAATACAAAAATCTTAATAATCCAAAATTCACCTGGGGTTTTTAATGTTTTTTTCCCGATGTGCCTTTGCACAGAGAAAAAAAATATATCAGCAGTTTATTCATAGCAGAACTGTGTTTTGGAATGTGGCTAAACAATAAGTGAAATCAAGTCATCAATAAAATACTGTGGGAACAAAGCATTACACTAAAATGCATACTTAGCCCCTGAAACTACTCATGAAGGCTGAACCACTTGGTAGCATTTTGACAGTAAGGGTTCTTCAGCCAGAAGCATTAAAAATGTTAGGGTTCGTTAGGC